ATGCTCCAGCAAATAAACTCCACCCCATGCTTGTGCAAGCAGCCTTCATCAAGCTCAGTGGATCATTAAAAAAGAACAAAACAGAGGGCATGGGACCTCAAGGACAAGATCCAAGTACATTATGTACATGTACAAAACTACCAAAGAATAAATAGAAACGATTAGAAAGAAAACAGGGGGAGGGAGTGGGAAGAGAAAGCAATCCTTAAGGTAGACATTCTAGCACATTTGGTTACAAGAAAGAGATTTGAGAAACTCTGTGCTTTGGCAGATTCTCATATATGTATAAAAAGAAAGCTCTCCTCTAGGCAACCCTGGTGAGCCTCTCTCTGCAGCAGATGTCACCATCCATCCCTCAGCATCTGTGTAGCTACAACAGGGCTGCTTTCCACTGTCATGGGTCCCATAGCTACCCTGCAATAGGCAGGCATGCCAGTGTCTTTGAACTTGACTTGGGGTGCAGTTCTCATCAGGGCAGGAAGCAGCCAGGCCCTCTAGAGACGTGTGCAGCCTTGTCTCTAGACCAGGGCTTGAGTTTTTCTGATGTTCCCCTCTGAATGTCTGCCTAAAGAAGGCAGGTGTGACACCCTCTTGTGCCTTGGCTTCTTGGGGTCACCTTTAGATACCCAGTGATGTGTGGCTCTGGCTTCACCCTAGCCTCTCCCATGAATGCCTCTTTTGGGTACAGAAAAGGAAGCTGGGTGATGAGCAGGCAGAGGAGCCATGGTCTACTCACTGAAAACAGGGTGGATTCTGAAAAACTTGGGATCTCCAAAACCAACAAAAGTAACAGAGGCAGTAGAGATGGCTTGCATCTATGACTGAATGCCAACTTGTGACACATTTTCTTGGAATATTTGGCTTACAAAGTCCATGGGATGCAGTTCCCATTAACTAGGTTTTCTTGTAGGACTCTCACTAAAATTCCTGAACTCCGTGTATAGTAGAAAAACAAAACTTTTACATTTTTCTGGATTTAGAAAGTTACTGCTGCCGGGCATTGGTGGCACACACCTTTAATCCCAGCACTTGGGAGGCAGAGGCAGGCGGATCTCTGTGAGTTCGAGGCCAGCCTGGTCTCCAGAGTGAGTTCCAGGACAGCCTCCAAAGCTACAGAGAAACCCTGTCTCAAAAAATAAAACAAAACAAAACAAAACAAAAAACCAGTTACTGCTTTGTTTTTGTTTTTTGAGACAGGGCTTCTTTATGTGTTACTGTTTCTTTGATGTATTAAAGTTAGAGGAGTCAAGGGTTAGAAAAATGGTTCGGTGGTTAACAGTGTACACTGCTCTAAACAGAGGACTGGAGTTTGATTCACAGCCCACTCACTGTAAGGCTCACAACCACCTCTGGCCTCTGCAGACCCAACACGCATACACGTAATACATCACAGGTCACAGGACTCAGGTGAGGCTGCAGTTCAGTGTGGAGTGTTTGCTTCACATGCTCCAGGGTCTGGGATTTACCCTCAGTGCTGTGGAAGCAAACAGCATGGGACCCTAACACTTAAAAAAGATACAAATGTATTTAACTGAAAAATTAGGGATAAAAAGTTTAATCACATTTAAATATGTTAACATTTCTGATAGTCACCAGCATTAGTAAGTTGATTGAGACCACACATAAATCACAGCTCTCTGAACTTAATTGTGAGCCTCTAGGAGTCTTTTTTTCTAAGATGGGGCCTCACTGGGCAGCCCTGGCCAGCCTGGAACCTGCTGTGTAGATCCTGCTGGGTTCAAACTCATGGAGATCCACCAGCGCTGGGGTTAAAGGTCTGCACCACCACACCCAACCAAGAACACCTTTTCACTCTTTTATAGTAACATGCCAAGAGTGTGCATTGCAGTTATGGGCTGCAAGAACTCTGATGGTCCGCACCTGATCAGGAACACCAAAACACAAGATTCAGGAAGCAAGTGAGAAAGAGAAAGGGGGCGGGGAGGAGTGTGCATCCTCTCACGACAGACAACAGTGAGGGAGAGTTCACAGCTCCTGCACGCTCTATCCTTGGCACTGTCCTTCTGGGAGGATCAAGGAAACATCACTCATTAGGGGAAAAACCCTACGGAACAGTGACACATTTTCACATTCCCCTGCTTCTCCTTTTGACATCTTTTCTTCTTCCTCTGCCCAAACTGCCAAAACCAAGCAGTGGCTCAGCTGTAAACACTGGAGACGTCCACAGGCTGCCCTGGGAAGACTGTGACTCACTGCTGCATAAGGTGAGCAGTCACACAGCACAATTCTGGTGTTTGTTTTCACCAAGACAGACAACTGTCACTTTCTAATCTGTCATTGCAACAGTCTCACATTTTAGCAAATTACTGAGACTTTTCTTCCTCATCTCTGGGATGATATCTGCCTAGGAATTTTATTTATTTATTTATTTATTTATTTATTTATTTATTTATTTATTTATTTATTTATTTATTTGAGACAGGGTTTCTCTATAGACCAGGATGGTCTCAAACTCAGAGATCCACCTCCCCCTCTCTCTGGAGTGTTGGGGTCAAAGGCGTGAGCCACCGCCACCACCGCCCAGAGAGTAATTTTGAAGAAGGGCAAATGAACTATATGCTGGTCAGACGCGCTGCGTGGCTCTAATCGTGGCACTAGAAAGCAAAAGCAGCAGGATCATGCATTGAGACCAGCCTGGGCTTCAAAGTGAGGCCCTGTCTGAAAATAAAATAAGCAAATAAAAAGGAACTCTGGTTGCACATCTGGTCCTTTGCTGCCCAAAACTAAAATGTTAGTGAAATACAAGCCTGAGGCAAGAAGTTGCCGGGCAAAGGGGCTGACTGACTACCAACAGCTGACGTCGTCAGGCACATGGACAGGTTTCTGGCAAAAGCACTGACTCAGGCCTCAGGCAGGGAGGCAGGAGGAGCCTGCTCATGGCTCTTCTGAGGCACAGAGTATGGAGGGACAGTTTTGTAGCACAGGCTGAGGACAAATGGCTAGTTAGTGTAGCCAGCCGTGGAAACCTGCCTTTCCCAGGCAGGGGGAAATTTCAAGTGTTAACACTGCAGTGTTTTGGACTTTATTTCATCTGAAATAATTTCAAACGTGAAACTTCAGAAGATCCCTAAGGACCCAGAGTCAGCAGCTGTGGTTTTGTCAAGTGGCTTCATCACCTCCCAAGCTAGAGCCTGGTTCCCAGCCACTGCCAGGGGAGCTTGAAAAGCTGGAATCTGACACCGATACCCTCATGAAGCCTAGAGTCTACTTCATCAACCGATTAACAAAAATGGCCTTTCACTCACTGCAAGATCATTTTCTACAACGTCCAGCCCAGGTCACAGCCTTGCTGAGGAGGAGCAGCTTCCTCATGTCCTCTCACCTGAGCAGTCTGTGGCATTCTTATTCTTGAAGAATGCAGGTTAGGTATGTTAGAGAGGTCTCGCAGGCTGTGCGAAGCTCTGTGTTTTGAGTCCTGGTTCAGGGTATAAATACAATGCCTCTTTGTTCCATTATTGATAATGTTAATTTTGGTAACTGGGTGGTGCCCAATTTCTTTACTGTATGGTTATTATTTTCCTCATGTAATTAATAAGTATCTTACTGATGGGGAGATGCTGTGAGAGTGTAGAAAGGCACAGTTCTTCATATACTGTGCCTTTTCGTTAAACTAATGCTTACTCTGGCAGCTGCGAAACTGCATTGTCTTTTTAGGAAAACACTGTCTGGTCTCCTATACAGAACTGTGCCCCTTTTATCTACACATTTCTTGTAACATTTATGTCTCTCACAGTCTCAGGCATCTGAACACCTTGGTTCCCACTGTCTGGGGAGGCTTGGGTGGTGAAGCCTTGCTGGAGGAAGTGCGTTACTGAGGGTGGCTTAGACATTAAGACTCACTTCACTTCCAGTTTGCTTTCTGTGCTTCCTGCTTGTGTCTGAAGAGGCGAGACCTCAGCTTCCTGTTCCTGCTGCTGTTATGCCTCTCTGACAAACTAGACTCATCGCTCTGGAACCATAAGCACAAATAAATTCTCTCTTCTATACTGTGTCCTGACCGTGGCTTTTATCACAGCAACAGGAAGTAACCGTCAGTATGAACTCGTGGGCCCTGTTCCCAGTGGATTACACGCTGTGACTATTCTCATGTGGAGGCTTAAAGTGAAGCCGCCAATATGGCCAGTGGGATCCTTCAGCTGCCATCAGCCATAGAGCACTGCCTTACTAGCGAGCACAGATGTTCTAGGGTTCTCTCATCTCCACCCTGCATGGGATCTACCAGGGGGGACATTGGAACAGTAGGTGTGCTTGTCACTACTGGGACATTATTGCTTCTGAGCCTTTTCATCAAAAACAAGGGCACATGTATTCATTGGGATACAGTTGGGTCCTATTTCTTTTCAATTTTATGATAGTTCACATTTTTGTTTATTTACTTCTTGAACACATAAACAATTAACACGATTTAAAATCTTAAAAGTCAAAACCACACAAAGGTGCTGTTCTCTCCCAATCTTCTACTCCTCTCCCAACCCTCTGTAAGGAGTCAACTTCATCCATTTCTATTTTTTATTCTGTTCTGGTGATGAGATCTTGTTATGTGACCCAAGCTGTTCTGGAATTCAAGATCCTTTTGCCTTAGCCTCCTATATACCATGATTACAGGTGTGTACTACCACACTGGCTTATGGGTGTATGTGCATGTGCATGCACACAGGCATATGTCCTTGCAGAGGTCAACCTTGGGGACCCTTTCTCAGATGCTGTCCACTTTGGTTTTTGAGATGAGAGCACCTTTTTCTGAGACCTGAGTCTTGCTGATTAGGCTAGTCTGGATTGCCTAAGCAAGCCCCTGGTCTTCCTATTTCTGCCTTTCCAGGACAGAGATTAGCAGAGTTGTCATTTTTATACTCTGGGCCTCAGATAAGCACTTTACCAACTATCTCTATAGCCCCCAAACCAAGCTTTGATTTCCTGTTGACCCAAACTGCTTCAAGCCTGCAGTAAGAATCAGACCGAGTACAGCTGTCACGGGTTACCTGCTCCTCAGAAACTTGCAGGGGAGGGGACACTCGCTCTTCAGACCGAGGACCATCTTGATAGTTGATATTTCGTCGCTGACGTAAAGGGGGGAAAAGCCGATTCCAATTGATCATTCCTCCCTATAAAAGAGCAACGAAGGGTCATCAGGAAAGGGACAGAGTGCTCCACACCTCGCAGAGCCTCCCCAAAGGCTCACAGCTCCAGCTGGGAAACCAAATGCTGCACCAATCTGCTGTACTGTGATACAAACCCCAAATTCCCCAACACCCTCAACCAAGAGGATAAAACTGGGCCTGCTATAGACACAGAGGAGAGACGTGTTCTGTGCAACTGGCCACACTAGATCTGACATCAGCCTCCCTGACCCTGTCCCAACAGTGGCTATGGCTACATTTTGGGAGCTCAAGGATTTGCAGGATATACTGGAGAAGGACATGGAAGAGGAAGCAAGAAGAAAACCAAGGTTCCTCCAACAGCCGTATAGGATGCCGCTTCTCCCTGTCCTATTTATTTATTTATTTATTTATTTATTTATTTATTTATTTATTTATTATGTATTCAACATTCTGCTTCCATGTATATCTGCTCACCAGATCTCATAACGGATGAGCCACCATGTGGTTGCTGGGAATTGAACTCAGGACCTCTGGAAGAGCAGTCAGCGCTCTTCTGAGCTATCTCTCCAGCCCCTTCTCCCTGTCTTCTATGTATTTAGTCCTGAGCATCTCTGGTGGGAGACCTCAGACTGTAATAACGCCTACATCCAACAACAAGCTAGAGAGAGCAAAGGGCAAAAGGTCCACAAGTTAGGATCAATAACTTACTGAGCATTTGGCTCTGTGGATGCCAAAGATAGATGATAAAGCCACTTCTGGCTTCACATCTGAAGAAAAATGCATGGCACAATGCTGTCTAAAATGCCTGGTTTCAGCTGTGTGCAGATCTTGGAATTTACTAATTTTAAAATGTCTATTTCTAGACTGTGAAAGTCTGAAAATCTTAATCCTTATGGAGACCTAAAACACTTAAGGAAAATACTTAACATTGGCTGACTAATAGGAGGAAATGGAAATCCCAAGACACCAGAAACAAGTAGACATGGACAGACAGAGCAGAAGCAAGCTGGGATGTAGTCAGCCAGCCAGCCAGCCAAATGGAAAGACCAAGAAATCAGAGGCAGCCAGACTGTTTAATAAACAGGACTGGACAATGGCCAAAGACACGAAAAGGTTAGACTTCTGCCTCAGATGGTACGTGAAATACATTCCACAGATTAATAACTAGAACATGGGAAGCTAGAGTGTTAGAACTTTTACAAGAGGATACTTTCGTGTCATTGTGACAGGAAAAAGATTTCTCAGACAAAAATATGAAAAAGATGGCTAAAAATTAATTATATTACCACTAAGAACTTATACTAAAAGCTCAGCTATTGTTGGCAAACAAAATAGAGTTAAAAGACAAACTACATTTTAAAAGAAAATGTTCTGCCGGGCGGTGGTTGTGCACGTCTTTAATCCCAGCACCTGGGAGGCAAAGACAGACAGATCTCTGTGAATTTGAGGCCAGCTTGGTCTACAGAGTGAGCTCCAGGGTAGCCAAGGTTAGACAGAGAAACCCTGTCTTGAAAAACAAAAATAAAATAATAAAATGTTCACAACATGTAACAGACAAGAGCATTTACTTATATTAAAAACTAATGAGAAAATGACAAGAGATAAGTAGAGAGTGTACATAAATGGACATTTATAACAGAGGAAGCCTCAAGTCAACAAATACCTGCTCTTGGGGAAACGCAAATAAGAACAGTAAGGTATGTCATACCAACGGACAAAATAAAAAGTTCAGCGCCTCCGTTTATGGGGTGATTAAAGTGAATGTGAACTCTACAGGCTGCTCATGGCAGCACATATCAGGGAGCAACGTCTCAGGGTCTGGGCAGTCTTTTCCAGGCTAGCATCTCCCAGCTCCCTCTCTGGGTGATAGTGAGGGCTGAAAAGGTCCTTTGGAGAATGTTCTGTGATGCAACAACAATGACAGTAACCCCACTCCACCTTGCCCCTGAGCCGGCCTGTAATACAGAAGAGAACCTAGAAAGAGGGCTCCAGGAGCTCTCAGCTGCCAGGCGTTTTGCACCTAGGGTTAACAGGAAGCACTTCCTTTACACACACCTCACAAAAGTAGAAGGAAAGAGCTATTTTATAAAATACTAGTTGTTAATTGTCAAGGTGATTTTTAAAGGAAGTTTCTTGTGAAAATGAACAACTGTTTCTTTCCTGGGCTGAGCAATGGTGACTATTTCTAGAATCTTAAGAAGAAGCTGTGTGAACAGGTGTTCGTGCTCTCCAGACCGTGATGTGTTCTAGATGTGGCTAGAACAGAGGAGCACACTGTGGCCAGGGCATGCATGGCTTCATGAGCCAGGCACATGGTCTTACCCTGGTATTCATGGAGTAGCTTTTTTTTTTTTTTTTTTTTTTTTTTTTTTTTTTTTTTTTGCAGGAAGACAAAATACCCAGAAACAGAAAAACCAAACACATTGACTTCTGGCATTTATGAGGGAAGCCATGAAGCCATAGCCAAAGGTCTAGACAAGCACTGGGTGGACCTCTAACCTCGGCCAGAACATAGACGGAGCTCAAAGATGTGATGCTGGGGCTGAACCCAAGGAGGGGAGGAGCACAGGTGTTTTACCAGGTGCTCAGAGACAGAGCAGGACCAAGTCGTGTCAAGAGCAGTCTCCAGAGCTACAATGCCTGGGTCCAGACCCCAGCTCTGCCTCTGCCCATGGGACCCTGACTGTCAGTTTCCTCCACTGTACAATGGGAACCATGCCTCGGGCTCACAGGGGTCTGAAGGTGTGATGAGAACTCTCTACAGGTAAGCACTTAAGACAGCCTGAGAGCTTCTTCTCCCTCAAACACAGGGATCACAGTGAAACACTACCCCTCTGCAGTTTGCTGTGGACCCTGGAGGCCTGAGAGACGGATGGACGGATCTGCACACCCCCTCCTCACTGCTGCTGTGCCAGCACAGCGTTATGCAGTGCGGCTGGAGCTGCTTCCTTAGCCAAGTGGGTGCTCTCAAAGATTGTCCTGAAGAGTAAAACGGTGGCCTCTGGGGCAACGTTATACCTGTCATTCTCAGTTTGTGCTGTTTGGAACACTCATTATCAGTCGGCCAGGAGTGAAATTCAGTACTCACACACCGAGCTACCTGCACTGTGCTGTCCGCCGACCACTGTGCTTGAAGACTCCTACAAAGACCAAGCGGTTAGCACCAAAATGTGACATGAAGGGCTAGAGAGAGGCTCAGAGACTGAGAGTTCATAGTGTTTATTCTTTCAGTGGTCTGGAATTTGGTTCTCAGCACCCACATCAGGCAGCTCAGTACCACCTGTAACTCTCACCCCAGGGAATCAGATCCCCTCTTCTGGTGCCCTAGAGATAGACGGATGAGAAAGAGACAGAGACAGAGACAGAGAAACAGAGAGAGAGAGAGAGAGAGAGAGAGAGAGAGAGAGAGAGAGAAAGAGAGAGAGAGAGAACAGAATTATCCAGTGTTTACGATATACCTGCTAATACTTTGTGCAGTGGAGCTAGAAAGAGGATTAAGATGATGTTCATGCCTGGTAAAAGTTCAAATCTGGTCTGCAAATCACTAAGTGCATCTTCCTTTTCCAGTGGAACCTCCTTAGTTGTGTCCCGTCTAACCTTCAGCTGTGCTGGGATCCACTGGGCACTCTTCAATCACAGCTTTCTCTCTGGGCTCTGGCGATATCAGACTTCTGTATTTCCAGCCCCATGTTCCCTTCTTCCCATGTCCTTCAAACAGGGTCCCCTAAGGCTGTGTTTCAGAGGCTTCTTTTTCCCAGTTCCATTGGCTAGCTCTCAGCTACCTACAGGGCTCTGGACACCATGCCTGTGGTGAGGTCTCTGGTCGAGATACTGAGCCGCATAACTACAGAACCAGGTGTCCTGGAAACACTTCCACCTAAAGCACATCCCAAACCTGTCTCCAATGCCATTTTTTGTCCCATGTCCCAACCGGAGAGTGATGTCCACATCTGCCCACAGCATGAACAGCTCTCCAGGCTTCGTCTCCTTCTGATACTGTACTGCTTTGTGTCAGACCACTTTCCAGGGCAGGGCAGAGACACAAGTTTTACTGTGTCCTTCCTCCATTTAAAAACACTTACTAATGAACAACATGCGTTAATTCCTAACTTTTTTTTTCATGGTATTTGTGTGTGCATATACGTGCATTTGTGGGCACACACCACAGCACAAATGTGGAGGTCAGAGAGCAAACAGGACTAGATTTTCTTCTTCTACCACGTGGGCTGTAGAGAACTGGATTCAGGTCATCGGGCTCAGTGGCAAGGGCCTGAACCTGCTGAGCCATTCCACAAGCCCCAATTGCGCTCTCTCTCTCTCTCTCTCTCTCTCTCTCTCTCTCTCTGTGTGTGTGTGTGTGTGTGTGAGAGAGAGAGAGAGAGAGAGAGAGAGAGAGAGAGAGAGAGAGAGAGAGAGAGAGAGAGAGAGAGAGAGAGAGAGAGAGAGAGAATGAGATAACTATATTTCCCAAATGAGAAAAAGAATTAATGAGAGCAGTGCACTGTTTTCTGTGTTGCAAACCTTTTAATATTTGGCAGAACAGAATGAAGACAGCGGCATCCTTGTATCTGCGTGTGTATCAATTCTATTCTACTTGGTTTTTGAAGCAAGGAAGATAAATAGAAATTACAAGGCAGCACATACAAAGTCTTTCCAAATACCACAAGGACCACACTCTCACTACCAACAGGTCCCCAGTGCTCTCACAACAATCAAAATGTTTCCCAATGGCTTTAGTAGTCTTTCTTACCATCTCTGCTCCCACTGGGGAACCTGTGACCACTCCCCATGAGCAGGGTTAGATATCTCACTGTACTGTCAGCTCTCTATACATTTCAGCTGCACAATGACGGGCCTGACGCTCACACAGGCTCTACGGGACTCCATTCTGTCCTGTGTAGACCTGGCACAGTTACATACTGGGGATGAGTTACCCACTGCATGGATGAGGACCGGAGAGATACAGAGCAAAGCACACAGCTGAGCTATGTTACTCGGGCTTT